GGTCCCTTCCAACTCTGCTATTGTATTGTATTGTATAGTCATTTGTTCGAAATGGTATAGGATCTCCTGCTTGAGCAGGGGGCTGGACTAGAAGATCACCAAGGTCCCTTCCAACTCTGCTATTGTATTGTATTGTATAGTCATTTGTTCGAAATGGTATAGGATCTCCTGCTTGAGCAGGGGGCTGGACTAGAAGATCACCAAGGTCCCTTCCAGCTTTATTCTGATCGATTAATAGCATCTTGTGTTCGGAGTTGCCTTCCTTTTTATGGAACCTTGGCTGCAAATAAGCATAAATGTCAATGGTGAAAACTAGGCAAATGATTTTCAGGAGTTTCCCTCTACTTTGCCTTTACTTAAGATTAGTAAAGCATGAAGACAACAGTGGCTGTAAATTGAAATTTGGATAGCAAGCCTTGTTGTGGTGGAGTAGCAGCCCCTAGTGGTCAGACTGGCAAATGACATGGCCCTTTTTTGCCATAGGGTATGAATACAGTCATACAAGTGGAACTTTTCAGCGACTCAGATTCTTCTAGATTAGAATAATGATTTTTAGCGCTCCTGGTCAAAAAAAGCTATCACAATTTGCCCTCCGTCACTGATTTGTGCATGTATTTTAATTATTTCATTTACAAGTCCTTGACTTACCCACAGTTCATTTAGTGACCAAAATTACAAGGGCACTTAAAAAAAAAGTGACTTATGACCATTTTGCACACTTACGACCATTGCAGCATTCCCCCATGGCCGTGTGATGAAAATTGGGGCACTTGGCAACGGACTCCTCTTTAGGATGGCTGCAATGTCCCTGGGTCATGTGATTCCCCTTCTGCGACTGTCTCACAAGCAAAGTCAAGGGGGAAGCCAGATTCACTTAACAACCGCAAAGGAATGGATCAGGGGAGGGTTCTGGATCACGTTCCAAACGGAACGGTTGGAACGGGCCCGGCGGTGTCCACATGGACCCGCGCAGGGCGGGCATGTGTCTTAGCGTCTCTGCGAGCCTCTGTGATGCTCCAGCTGCTCCGCGGAGCATTGTGCAGCTGCTTTTTCTGTGCCATGCGCGTGCGCGGAAGCGCAGAAGCCTTAAAAGACAGATAAGGAGATCTGGCGGGCAGGCGGGCCCTCTGGACCACCGTACTGGAACGGTATCCGGTGCTCCAGACAGGCTCCGGTACGCCCGTACCAGGGCGTACCGCCTACAACCCACCACTGGAATGGATCATCGAATAAATCAACAGAATTCATAATTGAGGCACAAATGACCAAAATCAAATTGTCCCACCGGTACTTTGGACCAAGGGTGGGCTGCTGCCGGTTTTACTACCGGCTTGCAACCCCCCTGTGCGTGCGCTGTTCACTGTAAATTGTTCTTCATGCATGCATGGAACAATTTACAGTAAACTGCGCACATGCAGTCACTAGAGAACAAAACGGCGGTGGCGAGGGAAGAGGTTCGGGGGCGTGGCAGGCCTGAGTCGCTGCCGGTTCTGCGACCCAGGCCTGAATTCCACTACCGGTTCAGCTGAACCGGGAGCAACCCACCTCTGCTTTGGACACATTATGTGAAGACTCAACTCTCTGGAGGAAGCTCTGATGTTGAGAAAGGTGGAAGATAAGAGAAGAGGACAAACCGACAGCAAAGTGAATGGATTCCATTAGACGAGTGATGAGTGCACCCTTAGAAGACCTTAACCAGGTTAAGGGATCGGTGGTCAGGAAGAAAATCCACGATCAGTACGAATTAGAAACGATTTGGTGTTACTTAGTCAACCTAGTTAATGCTTTAAAGGAGGAGTGTCCAACCTTGGCAACTTTAAGATTTGTGGACTTCAATTCCCAGAATTGGGAATTGAAACCCACAAGTCTNTTATTTTGGGGCTCGCAGCCAGTCTGAACCGAGGGCTGATAAAGTTCCTTAAAGTTTGTCTGCCTGTCGTCTGTTAACGAGCGAAGAAGGGGGGGACAGAACAGTTAGCTATGTGGCAAATCAGATTTGAAAAAAATAAATAAAAAAGTTCTAACTGTTCGTTAAAACTCATTTCCTCGCCTGTGTTTCCTGTATGGCAATTCTAGGGCATGAAGTCTACTTTGAAGGGAATTCATACCAACGTGAGGCACTGACCCACGGTTCTCATGCGAAATCTGTGAGGACTTTCCTTCCTAGGTGAAGCTGGTATCTGTTATCTCTTTCTGTTGTTCAAAATGTAATGGAGGAGGAAGCAGATAAGCAAACAAACAAACAAGGGGAAAGATTTCTATCGACATTTTGGCCAGGCCGAGTAAAACAATAGCACTTGTCATTTTCCTTTTCCAGTATACAGGACTGAAACATGCCCACATGGAGAAGTGTATCCCTTTGTTGCTTAAGACACAACCTGGTGATCGCTGATGGGAAACCCAAGTACTCATTTCCAGAATCAGCAGAGTGAAACATTTTGTTCAGAAAAATTAATTTGTAAAGGGCCATTGGTAGACAGCACCCATCCATCACTCTGCAACATGTATTAAATGCCTTGAACACAAATGGCAGGGCCAATAAAATGCTACAAGGAAACCCCAATGCACTTTTAAAGCCAGAATGCCCAAATTGTTCATTCCACAACAAGTGAACACAAGTCACCTTAATTCATTATACAAGGAAAGGCCAATCCAATTCCTACAATAGTGCCTAAGTTGCTTTTTATGATTTACTTAGACCTAATGACTCAGATTTTGCTTAGTCTGATGGAATTAGCATCCAATCCAGTGGTGGGTTTCAAAAATTGTTCGAACCCACTCTGTGGGTGTGGCCTCCTTTGTGGGAGTGGCTTGCC